ATTTAATAACGAGGAAGAACGACAACAATAGAATAATGTATGTGCTGATAAAAGTAGTGATCGATGTATAAGAATGAACTGAGAAAAACTTAACATAGTTACTTCGTGTTTACATAAAATATGCTTGATAATACTAATATGGAGCGTTATCTAAATTTCTTGACAAGATATATTGAAGATGATTACCATTTTAGAGAATAAGAAATAAAATGTAGTTGTTTCAGTTTTTAAATACTATTTTCAGCTGTTCAGGTTTTAAAGATTATCATTGATCATTCAACGAAAAATATATCGTGTTACATATGTATACGCACTCGCCATATAAGAGAAAATGTAACTTGCAGATAAATACATAAAAAATCTGGTGTAGAATACTCTATCAATAGTAAGTTTTAGACGTAAAGAGCTATGAAATACAGATATTATAATTTAATCTATCCAAAATATCAATTAAATCAGTATAATAACTATTTCAACTTAATCAAATCTACTGAAAAATTCAAAAAAAAAGTCAATCAACTTAAAATGATCGATATTTATAACCGTTTTAACTTTTGCCGTTTTTCTCAGCTATTATCTTTTTAAAAATAGTCTTAACTCCCACATTGACTGTGGAGTCTGTAAAAGTGTATTATGACTTGTTAAATGTAATAAATTGAATGAAGATGTTGTTAATTGAATGCACTAGTGCGAATGAAATGTAAATGCTTGTATTAACACTTGCACAAACATCATCATCACCATAAACTTATAAAGCTCTTCCTTGTTTTCCAAGCACATCAATCATATTATGTGACCATTCAGCATGTCTCTTTTATGCTTGTCTAAAACATTGTTCATCAGCACAAATAATAATTTGATCACCAAATATAAATGAATGAATATCAAGTATTGAACCTGGATAAGATGTCCATTGATTTTGTTGGACTAATAATAATAATAGTTGATCTTAATTATTTTTATCATGAATATGAAATTGTACCCTCATATCATCGCTTTCTGTAACACGACGAATATTACATACCGTCTACGAGATACCACCAAAGTCAGCAGAAGTTTTGAATAAGTGTTAATAATAAAATCAGAAAAGTAAATAAGGTAGACCAGTCGGTCTGAAATCCGTACCACTGCTGATTCGGGCTCTACCATTTTTTGAGTAACTTTTCCTGTTTTTTTTTTACTTGTGAAAAATAGAAAGCACACTTTGAAGCAAAAAAAAAGAAATAATTATCAATTACATTTTATTGATATGAATGACATTAATCACAAATAAGAACGTAGAGAAAATATATCAAACTATCTTGTTCGAATCTTTTTCTAAAATCAACGAAGAATTTATGTTTCTTTCTTTTACAAATATGAATGTCATCATTATTATAATAGACAGTAACATTTGACTGAAATTGAACAATCCTAATACAAAAACTTCCTGCGGATTAACAAAAATAGAAGCAAATGCTATTATTATTGGAACATAGCCAAGAGCGGAAACTCGGCTAGTTCTGACAAACAATACATTAATTAAAAATGTGTTATACCAAGACATAATATAAGCAATAACTTGTAAATAATTTACATTCGAAGGTATAATACGACAATTTTCATGAATTAGAGCAGGAAAATTTTTCAACCATTGATATTCTTGTAAAAGTTTATTATCACAAACACTATTGTTTATATTTTTCATAAATGATTCAGATTCTTGTAACATTCGAAACATGGGATTATCATTTATTAAACGATTATCGTTTATTGCATCACTATAAAATGTAATCATAAATCCCAAAAACACGATTGATACAGAAAATAATACAAATGCCATGACAAGACTAATATCATTTGCATCATAAAATGATTCTATACATTGATTATTTCTTGACTGTACTTCCATCATAGTTTTTAGATGATTTAAGATATTTAAAATAAATAGACAATAATTTGTCTTTCTTTGAAATAATAAAATGTGAACTGGTTTGAATGATGGATCATAAACAATAGACTTCTAAATTCATCGTCCAATTAGACAACAGTAACAGAATGGATACTAAATGAATATCTACATCATCATAAAATATATTTCAGATACGAAAATCATAACAGATTTATTAGTTTATCAATAAATAATTGACACAAGAATAAATGGTGTTATAGGGCAATGACATCTATGACAGTGTTGAAAATGGAAAACTGCAACTCCCGTTAATGAGAATGGCTCTCTAATCGCGGAGAATATGACACTAGCACTTTTAATCTCTAACCACACCAATTCACCGTGCTATGAAAATGTACTTATACATTTTAGTAGTTAGTTATCTGAATGATCCAATTCTTTTTGCCAAGAATAATCTTGAGTCTGACTTCGTCAAAGGTTTGCAACAGCAGGTGTACCAAGCAGCAATAAAATGTACAGAACATCTGCTGTTTCTGACTTACACGTTGTTCAGAAACAGTAGAGTGTAAATCGTGTGCTTTACTGAAGAAATTCACATATTGATATTTAGTTGTAGTTAAAAGGCGGGATATCGTATTAAATAAAACATTTTGTTTTGATCATGGTGGATTGTAATCTCGTTCAGCCGAATGTATCTTTAGCTAGATAAAGGGTGTAATATAAGTTCTGATTCCTTGATGAAATTCTTTTTTTCTTACATGTTCTTAAAGTGAAAGAGGCTGGTATTTATGGTGTAATTCTAGATGTCTAGATCTACTGTAGGCTAGGATGTGGATGTAGATAGTCATTGCAAGATCCACACCCACACTCGAACTCATTATGAATAAAATTGATTCGATATTGGATTTAGGATTCAACATTTGTAATGAACTTGTTCAAGAACTATTTATCAGAGATGATGGATGAATATTAATGTGGTTTTGTTAATCACTCCTTATTAATATTATGGGTAAAACGGTTTTTCATTCAGATATTATCAAGAATCGAGATTTAAAAAAAATCGGTCTTATTCACTCTAGATGAGATTGCATTCATTAATATCATGACTATAATCGTAAAGAAAATGATTGTTGAGCTAATCAGTGTGGGCTCACATTTGAATTTCAATTTTGACCAAATGAAATTATGCGTGACAACATGCAAATAACAATTATGTTTATATTTATAGATTTTATTCCGAATATATATGATGATGACACTGAAAAAAAGACGAGAGTGAGAGAAAAAAGTTATTGATCTAGTCTTTGTTTTTTTATTTGTATAGAGAGAGAGATCATGTAATGTCAATCTTTTGTTATTGAGTGTGAATAAACATACAAAGAAAACAGTCTTTATTTCATTTTTAATCAAGTTCTAAGTTAGTTCCTTCTTTTTACATAGATTTTTAGAGAAAGAAAAATAATTTTTGTCTTAATTTAATGTAGAAAATTTGTTCTGAATAAAATTAATTAGTCCTCAAATATTTTATGACATAAGTATGAAATTCTTAAATAGCAATTAGTAGCGTGCGTTTTTCGTACTATTGAAAAAAAACACAAATGATAAAATATAATATGTTTAGTTTCTTTTGTTAACATATTTAGCTGAGATCTATTCACCTAAATAATGCCATAGAAAAGCACTTTTAAATAGAATCAATATCAAATTTTAGTTTTTAGGTACTAATCAAACGTTCTTTTCTTTTGCAGATCGATTCCATTTAATAATATATATCAAACGAAGTCTTTACTTGGTGCTCTTTTGACAATGTCTGCATTTTATTTGTTAAAAAAAAGTTTCATTTTAAAACATCTAGCATAATTCTATCCACAAATAAACTAATATGAGTCTAACAAGAATAATATCAAATAGATTTCGATCAATAGATATAACAGTAATAAGTGTAACTATGATTCTGCTTTGTAATTGAATATATTACATGTTGAAACTTAACATATTATTTCTAATTATAAAAGTATTTTAAATAACAATATTAAAAATGATCATCCTTCAATTGTGAAAATTATTTTGTTTGATGGTTATACTCTAAGAGCTACAATAAATAGGACAGTATATTGTTAAGATATTGATTTTTATACTTTTCTTGAGACTTTTGGATTGTTTATTAATTAAAAAAAGAAATAAAATCAATTTATTGATTATTAATTATAATTTAATTGAATAATAGTAATAATTCTTCTTCTTTTTCAATAATCACTTTCATTGTTATTGTTTTTTTGATTTGATTATCTTGATTTTTCTCTTTTTAATTAATCTTGATAAATTTTACTCTATATAGAATAACTGATTTATTGTATTAAAATATTATTGAAAGGATCATTTGTTGTAGCAGCTTGAATTTCGCAATAATAATTTTCTCTAATATGAAGAATTAAATACTAATAATAAAAATTGTAAAAGCAAAAGAGTTGTTTGAACAGGATACTACTATCGAGCTCAATCATTTACAACTGTTATTGCACTATCAACACATTTCAGAATAAAACATTTTTAGTTTCTGATAACTTTCATGGTACATTCATCATAATTAAATCGATCTACTTGTACTATTTGATTCATTTTTATAAAAGCATTCTTTAGCAAGCTCGAAAAGATAGAAATTCTTCTGAAAATCATTTATAAAAAGTATCGACTACGAATAGAATATTGGTTTTCGAAATATGGAGAATTTATTACCTGATTTACATTACTTAGAAATGTAACTTAATCTAAAATAAAAATTGAAAAAGAAATATCAACAGAACTTTTTTTTTCAATTAGATATTATTAACTGAAAATACCTATTAATATATTTTCTATAATTTATTATTAAAAGAAATAAATATAAATAAGTAGTATTCTTCAATAAATAAATATTTTTATCAGTTTATTCATTTTATTAAAAATAAATAAAACGTAGATAGTAAAACATTTTTTTTATTCTTTTCGTTTATTCAAAATAAAGGACAATAAGTGGAAAAAAAAGTGATATTACATTTTATTCTTATGTATTAAAAATTATAATAAATTTATCTGATATTATTCGAGTTAGTTAAATAAAAGAATAACAATGTTAATTAATGATAGAGTAAGTATTTTAAAAAGAAATTAGAAAAGCATTTTATTCTATAACTAGAAATAAATATAGATTGAAAAGATAAATTATTTTTAATGATGTTTAGCAATTGAGTTTAACTTCGACATGATCAAAATTGTTTCAACAAAAAAAAATTGCTTAATAATTATAATATTGGCATCTTGTATAATAATTAGTCTTACAATAAAAACGATAAAATTTTCTGTTTTAGGAAATCCTTCAAAATCTTTATCAAATTCGATTGTCCTATTTGTTTATCTAATGATGGAAAATATATTCAATGGATATTTTTACAATTAAATGATGTTTATGAAATGCTTTCATTAGATCAAGGACGAAAAGCTAGTGGTTTAGCTCTTGTTTGAAAATTATTATTAGAAGAAAATCGTCAAACATATATAGTTTTAGTTGATGATTTTCTTTCACTATCAGCATTAAGTCAATCAAAAATAAATGAAAGACAAATGATTGCATCTATGAATACATTAGGAATAGATTTCGTTATATTTGGTAATTAAGAATTTGATTTAAATGAAACAGAATTAATATCAAAAATAAATGAATCAAAATTTACTTGGATTAGTTTTAAATATATTTGAAAGTGGAACAGATTAATCATTTTTATTAACAATTCATTAAAAAATATTATCAACTAATGAAATAAATATTCTTTTAATTGGTTTAACAATCGATATAGATAAACCATATATATTCGTATTATTAATCAAACATCACTTATTCCATTTGTTCAAAAATTTCTGAAGTCAATATCAAATATAAAATATGATGTTTTAATTACATTAACAAATTTAGATTTGAGAATTGATATACAACTTGCAGAAAATATATCAGAGATTAATTTAATATTAGGTAGACATGAATATGAAGATTTATTTTTTATCACGAAGTTTTCAATATATTCCAATAACCAAAATGAAAGCAAATGCATTTACTGTTTATATTCATTGATGTGCTTTTAATCTTAATACAAAACAATTTTGTGTTTATCAAATATTCGCACAAGTAAAGTCACAAATAGAAAATAAACCAAAAACAGCTGAAGTTGTTAATTATTGGTATAATTTAGATATAAAAGGTTTTGAACGAATCAGATTTCAACTTAATAAAACAGTATCTTGTTTACCAGCTAATATTGAATTAGATGGACGTTCAACATCAATAAGAAATTTTCAAACATTATTAACAGATTATGCAAATAATACAGGATCAATACGTATTAATGATACTGTTCAAGGAAGAATAACACAATATGATATATAACGTATATTTCCTTTTCAAGATAATCTTGTTTCTCTTTTTGTACCTCGTTCATATCTTGCTAATATATTATGTGTTGGTATATCAAAGAAAAGGTAATAGAATGTTTCTTGCATATTGTGAAATTCAAAGTATAGATCAAGGAAAAATTTGGTTAGTAGATGATTTAGATATTTCAAAAATGAATTTTAATTATTCTCTTGGTAAAATAAATTATCTTAAAGATACAGAACTAAACAAACCATCTGTTACTATTATGCAGCAATTCAGTAAAACACAAATATAAAGTTTAATTGAGTATTTACAAGGAATATATCTCCATCATGTTAATATTTATATCAACAAATTCTCGCATCAAATTTTTAATAATTATTAGTAAAATAGATTCATTTTTTTTATAGGATTTAAAATGTGAAATAAATAAGAAAATATTTTTCTACTGTTACTAATTCATATACAGAATATTTTTTTTTCTCGATTTGTATCATTTTTAATGATTAACTGCTATAAGAAATTAATTATCTAGAAAATCCTTTTCAGATAAAACAACCTTAAAATGATTTTTTTAAGAATACTGGTAAATTAATTTTTTCGTTAGCTATGAAATTTTTCCTATTAGAATGTTTATCATCTTAATTATTGTTAGTTGATGAAAATAATGTCTAATATCTAATTGAGTAGAAAATATAGATTCATCTTTACTATTATCATTTAAGTATTAATTCTGTTTTTATATACGATTATATTTACTTTTCTGCAATATGATATGAAACTTTAATTCGTGACTCGATCTATACAGCTCAAAAACAATTTTTTATTTCACATAATTATCTGATTTTGTCATAACTATTAATCAGATGTGATATAAATAAAAAATAAACCAATAATGTTGTTCTTTTGTTTCTTATCCTATTTTTATTTAAATATATATTTTAAAATAAGTTTATCAAGCAAAGATCTCTAAGAAATTCTCATAGAAAATATATATCTACTTTTATGTGTTAGAAAAATTAGTATTAGTATAGATTTAATTCTGAATGTGAATATAAATATATCTGCCACTTTTAAATCAACATCCCATGTCGCATATTTACTTGAACTAACACCGGTATACCGCGGTAGTCGAGAAAACCGGCGGTATACCGCTGGTATACCGTCGGTTGCTTCGAGTACCGCGGTATACCGACGGTTTTCTTGAGTACCGCGGTATATCGACGGTAAAACTATCTCTTTTTCTCTCTATATGTATATATATATGATAACGTTCTTTTTAATTTAGATGATTGTGAACATTGCAATAAACAGTAAGTGTTTATTATATGAATTATTATTACTATATTATTGTTTTATTTACGACGATCTCAGTAACAAAATGAAAAGTATGTATTCATGCCAAATATTATTATTTTATTATTTTTCTACTTTTATTTAGAGCAACTTTCAAAACTTCAAAAGAAAGTATTTATTTATTTATTTATTTATCAAGAACTATTTTATTTTTTGTTTAGATTCTTTTGAGAATTATTTAGTCGGGAAAATGTAGCAATAAATAGAACTGTTTATCATCAGATATGCGATTCATTGTCTTATGAATCTGAGAATGAATTTATATTATCGTATACAAAAAATTAATTTTATTAAACTTTATCATTGGAAAATTATTTTTTTGTTTTAATTTCAGTATTATATTTTGGTCGTGAGTGAAATGTAGCTGTTTCTGAGAAGAGACAATTTAGTAAGAGCTATATTTCACTTACCACCAAAATTTAATACTGGAATTAAAACAAAAAAAATAATTTTCTAATGATAGAGTTTAATAAAATTAATTTTTTGTATGCGATAATATAAATTCATTCTCAGATTCATAAGAGAGCAGATTACTAGGTTCGCACCTTGATTTTATCGATAAAAGATGAAATTATCGCCGGTATATTGCCGGTATACCGCCGGTGTTTTTGGAACTACCGGGAGTACTGCCGGTTAACCGGCGGTAGAGCGCACATTATACCGTTCGGTCAACCGGCGGTATACCGCCGGTTTTTTCCGGTTCTAATCACATGGGATCTTAATTGAATTATGAATAAATGAATATCGCATCACAACGAAGGTATGTGTAAGTTTGCACACAGAGACTTTTTTTATCTAATGTCATATGTTTTATTCATTTTTATTGCATATTGTTGTCATCTCAATAAAGAGTCACACATTAATTGTATTCTGTTGTTGCCATGAGGAAGATAAGATCTTATATTAAAATTTCGATTTTATGCATTAGAATTTATTAATAGAGACATCATAATAGCTGTAAAATATGTATGATCGTGAGATACAGTATTCTCTTTCGAACTTTTATATCATGTTGGGTGTGGGTGTGGGTATCAACACAGCATCTACACCCACAGCCACACCCACCCACATCCTCACTCACACCAGCCACACCCACACACCCGCACCCACACCTATCCACAGCCACACCCACACTCACACACCCATACCCTTACATCCTCACCCCTTTAAGAAGGTCGACTGATTTGCTCGTATCAGTCAAATCTGTTAAAAGTATTTCCTTAATAGCAACAAAAATCATTTCTATTAAACTGCATTTACCAATAAATGGATTTATAGGGCTCTTTTTTTTCTATTTTTATTTGGTATACCTGCTTATTTAGTTCGATTGTTTTTAAAATTACAAATAAAAATTAACATGTTACTATTATTTGTTCTTTATCATTAATGTTTTGTATTTTTTTACGATAATTATTAATCATATTTGCTGATTCATACCATACATCTACCCCAAATTCGTTATGACATTGTGTTAATTCAATTGCCTTTTGATAACATTTTTTCGCATTTGTATAATCTTTCATTTGTTCATATATATCTGCTAATTCTTCATAAATTTTTGAACATTTTTCATCCATTTTTTGTGCTCGTAGACAATAATATAAAGCTAAAGGAAAATTTTTTTGTTGTTTACGAATAGCGACTACATCAAGACAAAATTCCTTTGTCAATCGAACTCGATCTTTTTCATCATCTATATTTTGAAGATGAATTTCATAAGCATTTGCAAGCCAATGAAAAGATTGAGTAAATTGATTATTTTCTTGATAACAACGAGATAAACATTTCATATAAGAATAGTCAGTGTACACATCAAACAGTTCACCTTCAGTTGCTTTCGAGCAACTATCAATTGCTGCTATAAAGTAATGTAATGCTAAATCCATTCGTTTTAATTGACTATATAATATTCCTAATCGTGCGTATAAGATATCACTGTATTCAACTTTCTTATTCGAAATTACATAATTGACAAAATTTTTATTCTGTTCCATAGAACGAGATGCAAGTTGTCTATTAATTTGAACTGATTTATCAGCATCATATTCTATGCTTAGAACCTGATCTAAGAAACTATAAGCGCCAATTTGTATATTACCTGTAGAATTTTTATCAAGCCATGTACCAAAATAAGAACCAAATGATAGATTAGATTCTTTTATTCGTTCTATTGAGTCAGATATTTGAATAACTAGATTGAATTGACCACGTTCTTTCCAAATACGAGCAGAGTAAAGTAATCGATCAAGAATTTCACTAATTGTCCAAGGATAAAAACAAGAAAAATTGATTTTACTTTTTAACATATTTGTATAATAATTAATTGTTTCGTTAATATTGTTTTGTAAATAATAAATTGATCCAATACAATTAAAAATAATAAGTAAAATACAACATGAATAATGATCAGATCCAACTTCAGTAGATTTAATTATATTTTTTTGAGAATAAAATTTTAAAGCTTTCTTTTGATATTTGAAAGACAATTGATAACGTTTTTGTTCAAGTGCCAGTAAACCAAGACCTACATAATAACCTCCAATACTAAAAGCATATGGTATGAACTGTCTTAATAGAAAATAATAATTTGATATTTTTCTATAATCTGCTGAGGTTTTTATTGTTGATTGTAGTAAATATCCTATTTGAATGAATGTACTTTCAATCATATTCGTCAGATTTATTTGACATTGTCTTGTATCTTCATTTTTGCCCTCTCCTTCTGGATCACACCAATCTGATTGTTCAGGACCGTAGTGATCAAAAGTAAGATCAATAAACCAAGTTTTTCTTTCTTGATCATATTTAACTTTGTTAATTACAAATGCATTACCCATTGTAAATAAAATTTCATTTTCATCCTTATTATAACTAACTTCTTTGACATCAGCATACAATCCAAAATATTCATCATTATCATCTTTTTTATCTAAATTAATTTGAAAAACAACTGACTGTTCATTATTTTCAATTGAATAATTATCAGCACCAGCAAAGATTAATGCAGTATCACGATCAATTGTTGTTGAAAAAAATGCATTAATATATATATAACGTTTAGTTTCACTAAAATTTAAATAATTAATTTCATGTTTTGTTATTATTTGTCCACGATAAACAGTTTTTGGAATATTTTGTTTTTTTACTTTACAAATTGAACCAATTTGATGAAATAAATCATAAATAAAGAAATGAAGTAATAAAATAGTATCAATATCTTGTTCTCGTAAAGCTTTATTTAAACAATGATAAAGAAAACAATCTCTTGTATACCATCGAATTGCATTTGAATAATTATATTGTTCTTCAAATTCAGTAAGAAGTCGTTGATTATATTCATTGTTTTGATAAATTCGACGAAATTGTTCAATGAATCGTTGTTGACAATCAGGAGCATATTTAATTGAACATAACATTTTCATTAAATATTGAAACCATGATGTGGATGGTAAATCCTCATTATCCCATAAATAATTTCTAAATACCGCTGTTGATTGTTTATTCGGAAATTTATCAGTTGAATTTTTATGAAATGTTTGTGTATCAATCATCAGTTGAGTTAACAGATCTTTTATATTGTTAAATGTTTTAGAAAATAACCAAGTAAACTATAAAATAATTTTGGAATAATTTCGATAAATAATAAAGGATATTTTTTACCTGTTCAAAATTGTTCATCGACGAATGATCCGTTTCGTTTTCTTTGTAAATATAGACACCATACGATTGAGAGGAGCTAACTAAATTTATTAATAATGATCGATTTAATTTTATTGGAATAATTAAATATATTATTTTGTTTTGAACATTTTTAATAAATTGTTCACATTGTAAAATATTGTTGAATGTTTCAATATGTTCGAAAATACTACGAAGTCGTCCTCGAACTATAGGATCTTTTTTTATTTCATCAACATTGTCATCAATCCAAATAATTGTATAGGAAATATTGTTACTATTTTCAAGAATATCGGTCTCTAAACCGACTTCTTCTATTTCAGAATATTTTCGCTTCTTATCAGTCAGCAATGGCATGATATAAACGAGCAACCAATCTTAAACTAAATGAACAAGGATGAAATAATAGAAAAGATGAAAGGACATATTAGTATCTGAAGAAAAAAAAGAAATTTTTTTTGTATAAAAACATAACAAAATTCTGTATTGTAAACAGAATCAAATTACGTTTACAAACGCTTCATACCAAATCCCGAAAAAGTAATTCATTCATTTTTTCTACGTATTCTTGTCTTGTATCGTATTGACATCATTATTACGTTTATTTTTTTCTATTACATCCGTTGCATATAATGAATCACGTGTATTTGTTATGATGCGGCATCTATATGATTAAGTTTGGCCATCTTCTTTCTGTTTCTGTCGTGTCATATCTCTTTCTTCTTTCTTTGTCTTTAGGTCGTATGAAGTGAGCCTAAGGTTTCAAACAGACTAAAAATTGATCAATATTCACTTTGTTTTAAGTCAACCGTCGTCCACACTAAGAAATTAAATCACTAATGAGAGTGTAGGGCGAGTCTCTCTGATGTAGCCTAAGTGCATAGTAGAAAATAATAATGCATAGAGAAGCATCGCTATCATACGTATGCACATGATAACAGAGTACTATCAAACGAGTTGCTAGAAATGTAAGATTTCTTGAATCAGTACTTATGAGAAGTTAATTTGATTTTTTAACAACACCCATATTGATCTTCAATATAACATTACCTATAGAAAATTATTTTAACAAATTCCAAACAAATTCATCAAAAATAAACAAGTATTTATTGATTTATTATGATGAAATAAAACCAACAGGTTTATCAACTAATTGACATAACAAAAAACCAACAAATTTTGCACAACAAAGTATGACAAAAAGCAAGAAGATAAAGATGAAACACATGGTACAAAAAATAAATAGTAAAAGTTTACAGAGAATTAAGTAGAAAATAATTAAGAAGTGCTTCACGTACATCAGTACCATCATTTGTATGGATGTTACGTGAAGGTTTCTGGTGGATGTGGATGTGGCTAGGGTGTGGATGTAGGGGTGCACCAATTCCAGAAAATTGGCTTCAAAGATGCTATTTTTTCTATTTCAAGCACCACCAATTCCGAGCAATTTTTTGTGTTAAACTTGATCACCTTGAATCGCTCTCTCTGTAGTGGTTGTTGGATTGTACTAAATACGATTAAGAGATGTCAGAATTGGTCGGAATTGGCTAAAAATCCTAAATTTTCGACCAATTCTGCCATCGTTTGATTGTATTTGGTGGAATTCGTCAATCACTACAGGTAGATCGTTTGAAGGCGGTCAAGTTTAACACAAAAAATTGGTCAGAATTGGAAGTTCTTCATATCGCAAAAATACCATCTTTGAGGCTAGTTTTCTAGAATTGGTGCATCTCTATGTGGGTGTTCATGTGGTTGCTTGCTACGATTCATATTCACACAACAACGATCCACACCCACACCCATCTTTATCCACTATAACAGCTGCTATACAAGCCCAAAAAAATGTCAAAATAGGAGATTAATTAATATTATTTTTGGAATATTTTCTTCTTAAATAAAATAAAAAAGTAATTTTAATCTTTTATCTTTGAAAATGTTTATAATACCTGAATCAGATTTAATAAGTGAAAATTTCTCTCGTAATTTTAATAATTGTTCCAATACATAAATACTTGCAATAGCATAAGATGGTGCACGCAAATTAACTAGATCGTGTGTGTGTGCCACCAAATCCAATACGAATTTCAAGTTTAAAATTTGGTTCACTAGAAAGTCGCATAGAGGTGATCAAAAGATCTTTTAATGATGATATTGAATCTAATCCAATCACTATTCCTTTTTCATCATTCATAAGAGCATTAAAACATTGACATATTTCATTTTCTATACGTTCATAATCATGACATAGTCATTCGTTCCAATAAAAATTATATTTTTTTTGCCATTGTGTTTCTAGTTCATTATCTAACATAAATAATTGTTTATTTGCTTCTTCCAAATTTGAGAATCTACGAACTTTAATTATTGACTTACATCGTTTTATGATTCGTTGACATAATAATGATGATACGATAGTTTGAACAGATATATGATATTTTTGATCAGAGTTGGAATTTGGTGTACTAAATCCAGATGATGAAGTACCTGAGTCAAATCTTGAATCTTTGTCATGATCAATATCTGTTTCATTATTGTTTATTTGGTTTGAATTGGACATTGTATGAAAAAGCAGATCAATTAATTTAAATAAATTGTATTATTTACTTTTTGTATTTATTCAAAAACGTAATTTCGTTAATATTGTTATATTAAAAATGAAATAAAATTCACTTCCTTTCATTTCTTATATCAATATATCTCGTATTGGAAAAAACTTTGCATGAAGAAAGTAAATTCATGAGTATTACATATTACTCATAAGGATAGGCAACAACTCATATTTAGTTTTTACTTTATTTCTAGTATGTCTGATATTACACAAAACCAGTGGCGTGTCTAGGAAGTGGCTAGGGGAGGGCGCAGCCTTCCTATAGGCAAGACAAAAAACTTTTAATAATTATCTTGAAATTTTTATCATTTTTCTAGCATACTATATATCTCTAAAAATTTAGCTGACTAGAAGCTAGTGCACTCTTCAGGCTGTGGGTGAGGGTAGTGATCATCTCTTCACCCACACCCATACTCCCCCTCTGTCCAGTTTACTTTTTCAAGTACACGTAACACTCAAATTTAAATCCGATATTTCCACATTTATTCTAAACCATGATCAATAATCGTCGATAATGGTGTAAATGTAAAATCAACACTAAAAGAAAGTGCTAATTCTTATATATTAATATTAAAAATTTATCTAATTGCACAAATGTATGAATTAATGTTAATTCATGTGAATATAAACTTTGATGTGATATTTGATCATCGGGAAAAAAGGTTTTGATCTATGGTTTACTCTTAATCAGGTAGAAATGATGCAACTTGAACCGAACTTGAACCGAACTTGAACCATTTTTTCAAAAGTGAAACCGAACTGAACCGAACTCTATTGAAAAAAACCTGATTCGATTCGATCTTTGATTTGTATCATCGCTTATGCAGTTGTTGACACGATAGACATTTATTTCTTGTAGGTAGTAAAGTCTTACTTGCATACTTTGTATCTTTTTTTAATAAAATAGATACTATAATTATTGAAAATCACATTTTTATGTATACGAGTACGAGAATTAGCCTACAGTATGAGTTTTGTGGCAGTTTCACCAAGCTGACTAATGCTGTCAAAAAGTGTCGCAACTGATGTGAAATTAGTTAGTCGAAATGAGCATACAGAACACAAGAAACTCTAGTGTGTAGACACTTCAACTCATCCTTTAAGCATACAAACGATAAGGAGGTCCACTTGTTCGCGAATGGCAATTATGTCAGTTTTAGTTGCTACATCCATATATTCGTCACACTAAAGGCCGTTTTTTTGTGTAATGATTTTTTTTCAATCGAGTCATGAGACGCAAAACTAATATAAATATATCATTATTCTTCAACAGAAGTTTCCAGAGGTGAATCACTTTTTGACAAAGTCAGTGTGTAAATAAAGATCGAGAAATCGTGCAGTTCTTCTACAAAAAAGATGAAAAATTTCAAAGATTTGCAAGTCAATTCCTGTTTTTCGATGATTTTTTTTCTTTAAACTGTTCTTCAAATACAAGCATAATTTCTTTTTCCTTTCTGTTTCTTACGGTGCAAAACGACACATGGTAATTTTTCTTTTCTTTCGTCTCTCATGTAATTGAGATTGACAAAACATTTTTACAAGTTAAATACAACGGTAAGTATCAACAAACATATATACAAATTCTTTCTTCTTCTTTTTTCACCGTAACACAATTTCTCTTCGAACATAAGAGTTTTAGTAATATGTCATGACATTAACTGGTTATCGTTCAGTAAAAAAAAAGCATTATGCGCGTGAATTTCATCCTTTTATTTGTAGTTAATCAATACAAGATCATTCTGTCTATTACATGACCTGTTGTAGTGAGCAATAGTCTCGAAGCATCGTCCGTAGAAGAGTACAGCGTCATGACGCCGATTGAAATTACACAGATAAATAAACTTCTAATTTTTCGGTTCCGTAAAACATACAGCAGTCCTTCGCAACAGTCCCAAAAATTCTGAAAAGCGTAAATTATGCAAAATTCATGAAGTTATTGTTCTAATCACACTCACCTTCACAAACATATATGAATCATACCGAACACATGATATTATCGACAAATTTTCTCCGAATAGTGTGTTTCAGTTACACTTACGTGTTAAATGGTAATTCAATTCGACTAGGAGAATTTGAACTGGTGACTGGAGAGTTGAACCTTCAACAGTTGAGCCTTGCTGCAAAGATCATCGATTTATCTTTGTGAAAATGTAAAAGCTCCACAACTAGATTTTAAAAAATTTTAAAGGAAAAATAAGTTGAAGAAAATTGATTTAAAAATAAACTTGATTTGTTTCAAAAGTGAATTGACAAGATTTTAAATTTAAAATACATTCAGAAGATAGAGAGTATAGATATTAGTGTAATTTTGAGATAAGAGTGGCAGTATTGGTATGCATGTATGTTGAGATTTGAAGGATGAGTAGATGATGAGCAGGAGCAAAGATTCACATCCGGTAGTCTACTCTCTGATATTTGATCTCACATCTACAGGGTGTTGCAAAACCTTTACGCCCTCCAGGCTCGGCCTTAAAGTAAAATGATTGCACTAAGTATTTTATACCAAATTGAAGCCCGTAAAAAACTGCATTTATTGATACTAAATAGTAAAGGTTATGAAGACCTTTTAATGTCGAACTTCCGAGATTTTCAGAAATTTGATACCTTTTTTGGTGTCGAAAAGTAAGGTGCCACTAATTCAAATACGAAATAAAACATTTTGTCTAGATATTTTTACATGATTCGATAGAGCTCGATGAGCTCTACAAAACTATATATTTCGAAAATACATTGAGCCATCTTTTTCAGATAAAAAATTCAAAAAACTACAGGGAAAATCTCAAAAAATGTCAAAAAATTCATCTTTTTTTCATATGAAAAAAGCATTCAAATTTTTCAATAACATTAGTTTTTTTCATTATTGGGCATGTGGCAGCTCATAAGCTAGTGAGGTATTGAAAACCAAACTTGAACAATATTTCTATTGTTGATCATCGGCAAGATCACAACTATTTTATTATCGGGAGATTCTTGTTTAAGTATCATAGAAAATTCCATATTTTGGTTTACATTAAGTGGTACAGCTAAAATATTAGTATCAGTTCATCAGCTGTATCCCGCTTATAAATCGTCATAGATCAGTTCATCAGCTCATGAACTGTCACTACATATTAGAATTGTGCTCTGAATTTATTTTAGTTATAGTTTTTGTTGCCTATTCAGTTTTAAAATAAAGTTTGTTACAAAATCAAATTTTTTAAAATCTAGTTCTGAAGTTTGTAAATTTTCACAAAGATAAATCGATGATCTTTGCAGCAAGGCTTAAATGTTAAGAGGCTCAATTGTCTATGTACTATTGATATCTACTTAGTTGTGCTCAATATGGATTCCGTCGAACTTGTGAAAAATATAATGAAACATGCGACTAGAATCAATGAAATGTCAAAGCAAGTCATATTGAACAAACGTCAATTTCAACGTAAGTCTTTCAATCTGTTTCCCACACCCATCGTTCTCTTTTTTCTCAATCCTGAAAGAATGAGTATAGAAAACGGAAATTGCTGGTCCGTTTGTCCACGATCTGATGGGTCAGTTTTTTCGGCCAATCAGAATTCACCTTTGGTAGGGTCCATAAATTGTCAACTGCTATCCAATGGACGTGTCGATAGGTCATCAACCATCATACTCTGGGGGTACCCATAAATCTCCAACTACTATAGGAGTAGCCCTAGGTCCTCAACTACTATACTATTGAGAGTACCACTAGGTCTTCAAGTACTATACTATGGGGGCAGCCTTAGATCCTCAACTGCTATACTATAAGGATACGCATGGTTTCTGAACTGCTATACTATGAGAGTATTCCTAGTTCCTGAACTGCTATGAGTCTCTATCCTGAGTGGATGAATATAGGAAACGGAAATTGTTCATCAGTTTGCCCGCGGTCAAAGTTTAGGCTTTAGATTGTCGAAATAAGGATATAGTTGTTGCCAATTCTGAAACGATCGATATAGTAAAAGAAAATTCCTTATCTGGTATGTAGGGGTTTTGATTTTTCGTAGTCGAAAAACCTTTGCTAAAGTCTCATTGGCTTGAAGCTTTTCGTGTGAACCAATCAGATTTTAGCAAAGTTTTTCTTCACTATTGTAAAAGGGAGAAAGTGTTGTCTGCGTGAATGAGAAGGTTTCTTGTGGTTCTCTTGCATAAGGTGCAAATAATACGATGTTTTGCCGTTACAATAGTGCAGAAAATCCTTCCAGAAACCTGATAGACTAGAAGTTTTTTTTTGGTCAGGACAAAAGATGATGTTGTTCGGGCTATATGGAAGACGTATGTTAGCTTAGGACGAAAAGCTCGTAGCCATTTATTCAGCCGAGTTTTTCTCTCCTATTGTAAACACAAAACATAGTGTTGTTTGAGGTGACCAGGGATTTCAAGGGGCCTTGTTTCATATGACCCGAACAACACCATGTTTAGTTCTTTCAATAATTGTGGAAACTCCTAATTCCTCTTTCCATAGACTGGAATAACTGGGATAACTGAGAATCAACACAATGACAGTATCATGAAATACAGATGTTTCCCCCTTGGAAATGACACTTGACTATGGGTGATTCAAGATAAAAATATCTACGCAGCAAGTGTTTTGTTGTGTCTGCGATTACAATCCCACGGAATACTTTCGAAGAAAGTCGATAAGCTGTGTGTAAAGGAAATACGATTTTCGGTTAGAATCGGACGCAATGAAATTGATACAGTGCTTAGGTGAGTGGTTTACAAAAAAAATGAACACAGGGGACATTGAAGCGACGACTCGGGATTGGTGCCCTATAGGGGCGCCAACGACCGACGAGAACCTGGTTTCATTATTTCAGATGGGAGACATTTATCCAAGAAGATTCGCACTGCATTTTATCCTTTGATCAAAGGTATTCGAAAGAAAATGCATAGCACTGGTGCAATGTATACGTTTGTTCAGTTAATCAGAAACTCACAAATATCTTCAACCG